CAACTACACTAAGTTTTTTGGGAAGCATAGATGTACCAGTAATTCTACAATATATGTTTCTGATGAATGTATACTATAAATAAACTTTTTTTCCTATATTTGTTCAGAAATCAGAATGATTTATGTAATTAAATCATGAAGTTTATTCTAAACAAAACTTTACAGAAATGTCGCATAGTAACTTTCTCTCCCATATTAAGTATATCTTTATTTTAAAATTAAAGAAGAGGTAATGGCTGAAAAAATGACACTTCTAAGTTCTTAAGTTTTATGTCATGAATAATACATTCCCTAATTTTTGTTTCTTAAAGGGTCTAAATCAGTGGTTCCTAACATGGGGCACACACCCCACAGGGGGGCAATTTGATTTTTAAGGGGAGCAATTCGAGAATGAGTTATTAATAGTGAAATTTTTGCATTTCTTATGAATCTAGGGGCCTCATATACACTATAGAAATATATATTGTGACATATTTATGCATTTCAGTTTTCTATTATATGTTTTGAAACTTTATTTGCTATTTTTTTCATATCACTTCATACTTTTTAAGCAATACTTTCTTAGTGAGTTCTTCCTCAGTACTTCAACTGTCCTTTCATTCTTTTACTTTTCTCTTTCATGGATGCCATGTTCTTTGGAAGCTTGTTTAGACCAAGTGGCCTTTTAGGCTTCCTCCACGTGAATAGGCGTTCATTTTTTGAATAATAAGACTTAAATGTCGGGGGCCGAGGGATATCAGGATTTTAGAGATGCTTAGGTGGGACATGGCCAAAAAAAGGTTGGGAACCACTGGTCTAAATGTTAGTAATCATGACTCAGAATGTAGATACTACCCAACATAAAAATCTCCTCCAATTATGAAATGCCACCTGATACCACTTCTCACTCAAACATCACGCACCTGAGGTACAATGATAAACTGAACCTGAAGCTTGTTAAATATATTTTCACAACATTGTTTTGTTGTTAGCTGTTGTTGTTTTTATTGGCGACCACTTTGAAATTTCCGAAATTTGGCAACATTTAAGTTCTACCCTACCACCTGCATGAAAAACAAGGCCTGGAAGCTAGCTCCAAAAGGCCATTAGGACAAAGGAGGAGTTTCAGGTTCCTTTTTCCCAAGGCAGTAATTCCAGCTTACACTATGGAAAGAAGGGAGGTAGGGTAGTCAGGGCCTAATGCACAGAAAGGAAGGATGTGGTATGGAGAAACAGATACATAGCCAAACACAGATTTTAAAAATCTGACATTCTTTTTTTTATTGGCTTCTTTTTAAAAAAACTCTCTATTGTTGTAAGTATTACATATGTTCCCCTTTTTCCCCATTGATCCCTTCTAGCCCATCCCTGCCCCTTCCCCCACCCCCCGTCCCCAGGCCTTCAGCATCCTATTGCCTGTGTCCATGGGTTATGCTTATTTCATAAAAGTTTTTTGGGTACTCTCTTCCCACTGACCCACCCATCCCCGCCTCCCCTCTGAGATTCAGCAGTCTGTTCCATGCTTCTATGTCTCTGAATCTATTTTGTTCATCAGTTTATGTTGTTCATTAGATGCCACATATGAGTGAGATCGTGTGATACTTGTCTTTCTCTGACTGGCTTATTTCACTGAGCATAATACTCTCCAGGTCCCTCCATGCTGTCTGAAAGGGTAAGAGATCTTTCTTTTTTGCTACTGCGTAGTATTCCATGGTGTAAATATACCACAGCTTTTTTATCCACTCAACTACTGATGGGCATTTGGGCTGTTTCCAGATCTTAGCTATTGTAAATTGCGCTGCTATGAACATAGGGGTGCATACATTCTTTCCGATTGGTGTTTTGGGTTTCTTAGGATTAACTGAATCTGGAAGAATCAGAAAACCTGAATAGGCCAATAATTACTGAGTAAGTTAAGCAGTAATCAAAAAACTCCCAGCAAACAAAAGCCCTTGTCCAGATGGCTTTACAGGGCAGTTTTACCAAACATTCAATGAGGAACTAACACCTATCCTCCTCAAACTATTCCAAAAAAAATCCAAGAGAAAGGAACACTTCCAAGCTATTTTTATGAGGCTAGCATTATCCTAATTCCAAAACCAAATAAAGACACTACAGAGAAAGAGAACTACAGGCCAATATCCCTGATGAACATAACGCCAAAATCCTCAACAAAATATTAGCAAATGGGATCCAGCAACATATTAAAAAGATCATACACCATTACCAAGTGGGGTCTTTTTTTAACTTTTAAAAAATTGTGCCTTTAATGTTTTCTGCTTTAATTGGAAATGGGAAGGCTTAAAATTATACTTCAAAGTATAATTTTACCAGCAGTTGAACAATTGCATTTAGAACAAGCATGGTTAAGTTATAGTATAATGATATACTTAGTATTTCAGCCAGCACAAAAATGATTAGGTGAATATATAATAGTTCTACGAAAGGTGAATATACAATAGTTCTAAGAAAGACCCATTTCTTCAGACAAAAATACTGACTGAACATTGTCTAAAATGACCTGAGAGGGAGGAGATAATTCTGTCAATTATGAATTACAAAGCTGTTGGCAATTTCCTCTCTTACTAGTATAGATGTTTGCATGAGCTGAAACTTTTGATAACCACTATTTAGAATTCCATTTTCACTTGTATTATCATTAATTGATGAACATTAACTCCATTAAAAATAATGGCCATGTAAAAAGAGCTCAGAAAGTGTAATGGGAAATTCTTGGTTATCTATCAGACACAGCTTGATATTAGCTTCAACTACGCATATTTTCCTGAAAGTTTTATACCTTATATTTCATCATATAAGTATAAAACTATAGAGTAAAAAATAAATTCAGGCAATGGATTTGTCAAATATTTTATATCCTTAAATAAAGCTTTGAGTCACAATGCAACCAAAGATAAGAAACAAAGAGGCAGAATTAAAATATATATATATCTATAAAATGTATTTTAAATATATTTTGATGAGAAACAGAGGACATTTTCCTAAGAAACTGTGCTAACATATGCTTTGTCAAATGTTCATATAATTTTCCAATAAATGGACTGTATTTTGACTGCACAACATTTCTACATCTTAAAAGTATGACTACTATATCCTATCAGGATCACTTATTAGCTTAATTCCTGAAAATTAAACTTGTCAACTTCAATGAAACTTAAATCTTTAAAGTAACTCCCATTTTGCTTCCAAGTTCTGAGAAAGTGTATATTTAATTCTTCTAATCCACTTACATATGAATCATGTGAACTAAATCCATTTCATAGACTTTACTCCAGGCATCATGATTCAGTTTCTTAAATTATTTCAAGAAGTAGATGCTTATAAGCATTTTTATTATATAATAATAATGCCATTAATGGTTAGCATTTCCTCATTGTTCTCCTAAAAACAAATATAAAATTCTAAATAAAATAAAAATTTAAAAGTCATTTCAGGAAACAAATTTTAAAATAATACTAACTTCACATGTCTAGAATATAACTCCTAGCTGGTGAAATTACCATTTCATCACATTCATTATAATGATGCCTATATTCAATCTTATAGACATTATATAGTATTAAAATGACTCACCATATACTGCTCTACTTCATGAAAAACAGTGCCACTGACAACAGATTTTTAAAAATATATTTCCTTTTAATATTTCTTCCTTTATGTCCTCTTAACACAGTCCTTTTTTATTCATATGCTCTTCTAATTTGAAATCCTGATATTGATTTGCACTATCCAATTGTCCTTAATAAATATTTCAAGTGACAAAAAGACAACATGACCAAATATATATCCCCTTTGATAAGAATTAAGCACCTACACTATTCTGAATCTTCTTCAAAATTTGTCACAAAATTACCAACAGGATAAAAGAGAAATACAAGCAATAGAATATGGATTTTCACTAATTCATTTTTGAAAATGTACCAGTAGAACTTACAAAAACATGTGAGACTAAATCAAAGTCATGTTATTTTATTTTACTGTATTATAATTTCCTATTTAGCCCCAAATTCTTCACATATAAAATATTCCATTAGTTGGCTAGATGGCAACATTAGGAACTCTGTTCAACACAAGATGTCTAAAAAAATTAGGTTGGTTTTAACCACATTATCATTTAAAGAAGGCAATTAAATTAGCCAGAAAAACAATACTGAAAAAGCAGCCTTGGGAATAACTTTTTTCTTGTAGCCATTATGAAATCCCTATTGGACTGATTAATTATGCCAGAAAAGAAGCATAAAGCTGAAGCAAGGGCACTATCACTACTTGTCTTATCTAAGAACTCATAAAAGTAAAAGGCTCTAACCATCTTGTTTTATTAGATTCTCTAATATGTAAATGCTGCTACTTTTCTGCAGTTTGCTATTAGATTCTCTCATATGTAAATGCTGCTACTTTTCTGCAGTTTGCTTAATATTACTAATCATTTCATATGTTTCTTTTTCAATGTAAAAAAATCTTAATTCCAGCTTGAAATTTTTTCAAACTACTAATTCAGAATATGCCCCTTTGCTTGCAAAACACCATTACCCCCAATAAACAAGCATGCACAAAAGAATTCTAGAAGAAAATTAGAATGCACAAATTTCTATAACACAACCAGCCCTTGGTGACCATCGGTCTCACCAGATACTATTGAGTGGTCATGGACCCATTGCCTGATGGGCTCTATAGTTTCTCAAAAAATGGTGGATGACAGTCACTTGCTTCCTTTTTTGAAACTATGAACCTAGAGACAAATATATTGCAAATATCATTCCACTGCATTTGATAGAGCTGATCAGTTTCAGCCCTGACATTCTAAAACTGAATAACTTATCAGCCACAACGAACATGTATATGTAGCAATAGGCAAATATGTATTACAAAATTATTTTATAATGATATTTATAATCTATATGTTATAATGTAAAATAAGAATTATAATTCTTAGAGGGAAAACGCATGCCAAAAGTATCTGTTCCTATAAAAATGATACTTCAAATGCACATGAAAACTTTTCACTTGAATACACTGGAGCACTTTCTGGGCATTTCAATAAATATGGTGCATAATTATACCTGTATAGGGGCAGAGATTTTGTGTTTTTCATTCTTAGTATGTTTTTATGTACTTATAATATTGATGATCCGCCTTTACATTCAGGAATTCTACAATTTATTGTATTTATCAACTTTCAGGCATCAGTAGTCAACTCCCTGAGTACTTTAATCTCTATATCATATCTCCTTCATAGGTCGAAAGAGTTCCTCAAAACCATTTAGATCATGAGAGAAAAATTATTTCCTCTAATTTATGATATCACTTCAATGGGTCTCCAATCACCCCACAGAATATCCAACCTCCATCCCATTTCCCTTGTGGGCACCTACCCTAGCGTCGTCATGGTGACAATGGTATACCAGAAGGCCACAGGAATGCTGGTGAACTTGGTGGCGGAAGACCCCTTCTCGGCGTAGAACATCACGGTGGCGAAAATGATGATAGCCATGGTGAGCGAGAAGAGCAGGAAGCCCAATTCGGACGCACAGCTCTTCAGGGTGTAGCCCAGGATGCGCAGGCCTTGCGAGTGGCGGGAAAACTTAAAGATCCGGAAGACACGGAAGACGCGGAGGGTGACAAAGGCCCCGCTCACATCCTCGTTGTCCGTCATGACCAGCCCGATGTAGTAAGGCAGGATGGCCACCACGTCGATGATGCTCATGACGCTGCGGACGAAGCGGTAGCGACTGGGGGCCGCAGCCAGGCGCAGCAGGTACTCCACCGTGAAGATCATGACGCAGGCCGTGTCCAGGCAGAAGAAGGCCACGGCGTACCGCTCCCCGCAGGGCAGCTCCTTGATGTGGCCCGGGCTGGACCCACAGGGCACCGTCTCCACCACGTTGGCGATGACCGAGACGGCGATGAAGAAGCCGGTGACATAGTAGAACACCAGGGCCATCGTGCTGGTGTGGGGGTTCTCGAAGGCCCGCCAGACCTTCTGCCGGGCCGTCATGGTGGGCAGCGCGTTCTCGCCGGTGCTGTCCGAGTCCGCGTCGTCCTGCAGGCGCTCGGCGTTCTCCCGCCGGCGGTCCTTGTACTCCTCGTAGCAGCAGTCGCCGATGATCTCGGGGATGAGGCCGAAGAAGGCCAGCTCCTCATCGTAGGCGGAGATGCACTCGTGGCGAGGGTAGTGGAGCTTGCCGGTGCGGTAGAAGTTCAGGATGTGGCGGAAGATGTCCGGGTCCCGGTCAAAAAAGTACTGCTGGGTCTCCGGGTGGTAGAAGAAGTCCCTCTCGGAACTGCCCAGCAGGGTGTCCGGGTAGCGCTCCAGGGTGTCCTGCCACGTCTGGAAACGGGTGCCACTCACGTTCAGCACGATCAGAGCGTCCTGGGTCCTTTTTCTCTCCTGCCTCGGGGGAGCTGGCATGGGGCCCGAGGCCACGGGCATCCACCCGATGGCCGCTGCCCTGGCAAAGGGCAGCCATGCCGCTACCCCCGCAGCCATGGTGCCTGGACGTGGAGGCCAGACGGGCAATCGGGCCTGGACAGTAGGTCAAAGTAGCCCCAACCACCCACTCCCTCTGGTCAAGTCAGTGCTCCAGAGGAAGGCGGCCCAGGGGTATCACTCCTGTTCCTCGGTGGGGCTCCTGGTGAAGTCACAGTTTTCAGGAGGGCCAGTTGCCCTCCAAGACAGCTATTTGCAAAATACAGGGTCCTAGCAATCACGCCCAGACCTTTCCCGGCAGGTGGACCAGGCCACTCCAGGCACCAATAAGTACACAGGTGGCTTTGAACGCAGCAGTTTCTTCAAACAGGTGTCTTTGCTTCCTCCTCTGACACGCGGACAGCGTGGGGCTGGTTTGCTTTGTGTAGTGGGGCAGAGAAAACCAAGGACAGTCGCTCAGTGGTATTCTTTCCACGACTCCAGGAACGCTTCCCACCTCCCCTTGGGCTCTTTCCAACCTGCCTTTTTCAAGTGGCCCTTCCCGCCAACGGAGTCTCCAAAAGGCGACCTGTTGTAGCTTCCCAGATGCGGTCACCGCCGCTGCCCCAGGTCTCTTGGGGAGTCCGGGGGCCACCGCTGTCCCTCGGGCTGTATTTACAGAGGCGGGAGCGCGGTGGGGCGGGCGCGGTGGGGGCGTCCTTAGAGGTCCTCCTGCCCTGATCCGCAAGCACCCCTCGTGTCTGCCCGAAGCGTTCGTCCAGTCGCCCCTTCACTCTCTGTTCAAGTTCAGCTCAGGTGCAGGGTGACAGTTCCAGAGCCCGGGAGCTGGCAGCCGCCACCGCCTGGGCGGCAGCAGCATCTGTCTGCACCCAGAACGCGCCTCGCCCGCGGTCCGAGCCTGGCCGAGCGTGCACCCGGGCTGAGTTGCATAGAGACTTTCTCCTCGCCGAGCACCGGCAAAGGGAGAAGCAGACGGAGCAGCTCGCCCACCGCCGAATCCGGGCGCCCCGGGAGCATCAATGAAGCTCAAACGAGCTCAGCTGCCCCTTCCCCCATCCTGCCGAGCTTCCCTCCTCCTGTTCACCTTCCCAGAGCCGGACGCAGGCCGGCAGAGCAGCCGCAGCAACAAGTTCAAAAGGTGCGGGGGAGGCGAACCGAACGGACCCGC